GCCAGCTCCCAGATAGTGTTTAGCACCCCCACTGCTTTAAATGAGCGCTTTCGTATTCTTGAAAAATATGACCAACGGCTCCTGGGGCACTCCTCGGCACCTTCGGTTGGAAAGGGACAAACGATTACTTCACTAATCGTGACGTTACGCCGATGCGGAAAAAAACGTTGGCGTTTTTCAACATTTTACATTTGCATAACCTTTCACGGCACTAAATTGCCTCCCAGATGTGCCTGCAGATGTCCGAAAATGCACAGAGTAAGTAGTGCATAGTTTTCTTTTTGGGCTTGGATGGATGAATACTTAACACCGGGTGAAGTACTGTCCTTAAAATACATTCGTCTTGCAAAAGAAAATTTAGGCAGTAATCCATTTCAGGTTTATTTGTGTCGGAACTTAGGTGCAAATCCAGGAAGTGCCGGTCCAACACAAAGTTTTCTTTTATTGCAACTACATCTGTCCAGTATAGAGACTGTACGCTTGTTCTAACAGAATTTCTGAAATTGTAATGATTTTGCTCACAATACTTAAAGTATGTATAATGTTGCCGGTTGGCACGTGTAAGGAAAATTTTACTTTCATAAAGCGTACCTGCACAAACATGTGATAGAAGAGAAGCCCTAGTTTCCCTAATCGTCTTCGGTATAGTAAGCACAATTACAAGAGTACTGTTTAGATTTGAAGCGGATTATGAGTGAAATAGATGGGATCATTCTGACCTATATCAAACTATTCAAACGTGTGTTAGTTTAGCTAGGTCGAATTTTCAAAAAGTTGTCATTATACAAGCTTGCCTAACAATTCACGGATGCATAGCTTTGGTTTGGCTGGTGACAATAAAAATGCTACAGGTCGCATCTAAATAGCAGAGAAGATCAAAAAACTGCCTGCTGTTCCATCGCTCATTGCTCCTTGAATAGGGAAGAGCCATGCTCTCTGTATCTCCAGCACCTGATTCGTTGTCTCTCCTTTGAGAGTTTCAGATGCCAGTACCCCGGTGTAGACCTCAACCACAATAAGTCGTTTATGTGCAGAGCTCAGGGAAGTATGGTGGGTTAAACAAATGTCGCGTGTTTACTTATACGTATATCAGTGACAAAATTTTCCAGTGATTCACGTTTGGCCGAGCACCGGGCAGACCTGTATTTTGAATTTCGTTCTTGACGCAATTTTTCATTTTCTCCTAACAAAGGTCACAGTCTCATCAGACTTGCAGACCACACAGTGGCATGCGATTGCCCGAGAGATATCTGCGGAATATATGTTTGGGACAACGTTCTGTCCGTTTCTGTCAGTTGGGCGACTGACACTTGATGCACAAAAATACCGTTCGGTTTATTCTTTACCGGGAATTACCGAGACGTCTTTCTGCGGATGACGGTAGAATAGGCAAGAGGTAAGACTTGGGAATTGTATCCGCGAAATCGCGGAATACCCTATTTGCACGTAATGTCTGCCTGGCCATCAAGAAAAGTGAAGTATAGGGCTGTATTTTAAATATGATATGCCCTGGAAGTTATAACATGCGGCGAAGCACGAACTTGCCTTGAAAACTATTTGGGATGAACGGCGTTAGGCATGCACCGGGGCGACGTTTTACTTCACATGCCAGTGCTAAGAGATATAGAAAAGTTTTTAAAATGTGGCAACTCCAGGTTCCCACGAATATAAGGAATACAATCATGCACAAGGGTTGGATACATTTGTCATCAACCCAAGTGCCCATTTCTGGAGCAACGAAAATCGTAAAAACCCGAATTTGAGTGAACAAGCCTCAAGCCTAACCAAAACATAATCTTGAGTTTAAATCCTCATCGAATCCCTACTGTCAACAGAATACCTAGGGCTAAACGCGACGCAGACTCATACTTGGCTATTACTCTAACATTATCATTACACCAAACATAACTTCAACGCTATCGTTAATCAGTAATGATGTTATCTTAAAGTGAACGCGGAGGTGAAAAGAATTTTTTATTTTGTATCATTTAGCACTCGTCCACTGCGCATCTTAGTTACTGCCACTTTGACTGTCCAGGCATGTGGGCAGAGAAGAAAAGCCAATATAAAATCTTCGATACTTAGGAGTTCTAGAATTCTCACAGTGCATTCTCCTGTTTGTGTACATTTAGCAGTTCTTCTATCAAGGCAACCTCCGAGGCGTTAAATAATACTGTTCACTTTTGCGTTTCCTTTAATACGTAATCTGAGATTGGATGTTTGGCTAATGTCTTCGTATATTCTCCATTGGTAGTTTGATATAATTCCATGTGGGCTTAGCCTAGAGACCAATGTAGTCCGTTTAACTCTCCCGCTGTTTTGCTCTATTGAATTATCGGTTCAATACCAGACAAACGCAAACATAATTTTTTCGGCATTGCACTAAATGTTTATTTTAGATCCAGTAAGGCCTGAAACTGATGAAATCGTATACAAGTTTTTTAGCCTTGCCATCATTCGGATTGGGATTGCACATACAGCGCATTGCCAAATGAAAGGAGCTTAATTTTAAAAAACAATGCGTTCGATGGTTTTTGATTGCAAGCTATTCAGATCTAATTTTTTAGCCTCAACGTCAATTTTTCAAATTTAATCTCCAAATTTTTATGTTTGTTTTAAGACCTTACGAATTACTAAGTTATTCTCAAAGGGGATTGATATAGAATTTATTGTTTACTCACAGTTTTATTTCAAACCTGTCGATTTGAAAAATGGAAATAAGGTTTTTGGAAGCAACATATCCACAGGCTTTTTAAGACAGTACACTAATAATTGCCTCTCCTTTTATGCATTCAAACACTTGCTGAATTCAAGGAAGTGACTGTATCAAGAAGAAGATTAGTGTGATTTTCAGACAACATAATGAAGTTTTAAAACCTTAGCCAACTTGCAGTAAATGTACCAGAGTGTGGATCACACATCTACTAAAATAGTTCATAAGCAACAAACTCAAACGTCACGGTGACACAGCCGTGCACATTTCAGCGTTTTTGGGATAATAATGGCTTTTTCGTAAGCATGACGCTAGGTGGCAATCAGTCCTCTCTGCAAACAAGGCTTTTTCAAATCTTCGAATAATTGAGCGTCGTTTGATATTTTCGTCGGCAAAAGCCAGCAGGCCATGGCTTTGAATGTAACTTACGGCTGTGCTCCTTATTTATTAGAACAGCTGTGAATTTAACTTAATCCGTTTTGGGTGAAGCTTTTAGAGAATCGCTGTTTAAATACTACATTTATCGAGCTTGACTTTCCAAATAGGGTTTCCAAACATGCTGAAGTTAAACGCATGTAATTTTGGAAGTAGATGGCGATCTAATGTCTTGTTAGAGCAGTGGACGGTTTTTAATTTGATGACCGAATTCGGGGGAAAAATCCTGCCATTCGTAAATCAGAGCTCCCAATTATCAGCTTCTGTCTCTGATGATGGGTTAGAGCAGGCATCCGAAACGTCAGGCGAATAAGACTCCTGTCCCTGCGATCGTGTCTCCTTCTTCATGGCTTCTATTTATGCCATCATGAATTCCAAGGCTGAGGCTTGATTAAAACCGGTAAATTACCTATGCAATCAAATGTTTTGTAGAGGGCTGCTTTGAGTCCCACCTGCCTACTAAGGCCTCTCTCGTTCCACCTACTCCAGGCTGTATTGCAGACAGCAACAACCATAGGTCTCGTACCTGTTGCATTCCAGCATTTTTCTCAGCCGCTCCACAGTAACTTCGCCGAACGTAGGATCGTGTTTCTTCCATCACATTCCATAAGCCTAATTAATAAATGTCACAATATCGCAGACGTATAAGAAATGGGTCCTGGGAATAATAGTAAGCTTATATAGGCCCGACGCTACACAGAAAATAGCCTCACTTCCTTTTTCTGTGGGATCTCCAGGCGCGATCAAAAGTAGCTGTCGCATAAAACCGGCACGTCATGATATTTAAACGCGACTGTGGTTCTGCGTCATATTTTTCCGCATATACACAAACGTCAATTAGTGCGCCTTAAGTAAGTGTCTCAGAAATTATAAAGTTTCAACATTCGCTGTGTTCCGACTTCTGGTCATCTTTTCTAACAAATGATGGCAACATTTAATCGACAGATTTCCTGCTGACATCATGCCCAAGACAGCAGAGAAAAATGCTGACTATTATGTTTTCGAAAGAAGTATCCACAAAGGTTTTTATCGTGTGTTACTTTGACCCGCACGCACACTATTCGACAGTCTTATTTATTGGAACCACTGCCGGCATTGGCGTCGCTTTCACGCAGGTCAACTGAAAAAAACTGGAAAGTTACCGAAAAGGATGCTAGGCCCCGAAGTCTGGGGTCTTAGAGAATTGTACGTCAGCCGGATACTTCTTATCACGAATGTAGTTGCCGGCTGTGAAATCTGCTAGTTCGCCGGTAAACATTAATTAAAGACAGAAGAAGCACAGAGCCGGAAAAAACATTCCGTCGTTTTCGCTGTATCATTTCATTGCCGACTAGTGGGTGATTGAGTGTATTCGAGACCAAAAACGTTGCATGGCAACCTAATCACACATCTGTAACTTCAGGCGTCGACATGAGCTCTGTTGGGTTATTAGGCCCAAGACGCCTGCCAGTGTTGCTTAATCGCACAGTAGTTAGTTCAGAAGAAAGTGAGAAAACAAACAATCGAAGACAAGCTACTTTGGTACGCTGGAGGACTGTTTGCATATTTGTCTTGACAAGTGTTCTCCGTTGCTATTACGTCTTATTGTGGTTAGTTAACTGGATAGCATAATGCTGCTTTAAACCGTACGCCGATAATACGTTATGTAAGCAGAAGGTTGCTGGAGAAATAAAAACAGTTTTAACCAACACTTTATTTGATTGAGTGGAACGGAAATATAACTGGAATTTCTTTAATCATCCTTTCGAATAAGGCAATTGTTATTCAGTTCATTACGTCTGCCAAGTTCATAATCACAATCATTTATTTCCCGATCTTACTCTCTGTTCAGACGCCTTCCTTCAACCTTCGCTTAATCTCTGTCATTGGCAACTGCCTCCCTCCCTATAGTCCGTCGCCCAGTCTCATCCAGTAATTTTTCCATCTTCTTCACACGGGACTGTAGAACAGCAACTTCCTTCTCCAACTCCTCCTCATGCTCCAGTCTGTCATCATCCTCATCACCATTCTCGTCGTCGCGGTCGTCGTCGAAATCGATGCGCTGGTATGCGTCACGTGTTCTTTCAGCTGCCTCCAGTAGCTGTCGACTCTGTTTCCGCAATGCAAGCCATTCCGTTTTGCTCGGTGCAACATCAGCTAGGACTGACGAGGAGTTCTTTAAGATCTCAAATGCCCTCTTTTTGGCCGCAGCTGAGGCACTTCTTGCAGTCCGAATCATGGCCTTTATCCTCTCCACGAGGGCCCCTAGGGCGCGCAGACGAGCCTCACGTTGTCTTTCGCCAACTGGTAGGGGGCGCCTTGGGCTCCATCTCGCAGCCAGCCTTTCCCTCGCCATCGCAAGCCGCGACT